GCACGTTTTTGCAGTGGGTGTACGACGCGGGGATTCCATTTCGTGCTTTCCGGAGGAGCTCTTGGAGGAGACACCGCAAGGCGGTGGCAGAATTGCCACGTGGAGTACGGATGGTGTATCCTAGTTTCAAGGAGATTGGGGATAGTGGGGTTATTGGGGAGCGAGATGCAGTCGCTAGCATGCTCACACGTCCACGCATCGTTCAAGGCGATTGGGGCCACCATCTTGACAGATGGTAGGAGGTCCAGAGATTTGAGGCCTATCATTAACTTCCTTGCTGCTGGCAAGCATGGCACGCTTCTGTACGCCATAGTGTGTTGAGACGCTTCCGTTCCTGAGACGGGGGACATAGTCTTGAGGAGATGGAAGGCCATTTTTAGGTCCTTCCCACCGAGTGATGTGTTGGCGATCTGCACGGACTCTGCGAGCAACTACACATCGGCCGGAAAGCTCCTTGCGAAGGACGCTGACCCGGAGCTGCGTCGTATCACGTGGCTCCCGTGCGCCACCCACGTCTGCAACTTGATGTTGTCAGACATAGGGACCCGGGTAGACTGCATTGCCTCGGCCATTCTTCGTGGAAGGGCCTTGGTGCGGTTTATCAAGATGCACGGCGCTGCTCTTCACCTTTTCAGGTCGAAGAGCAAGCGCCGATCTCTTGTTCAGCCAGTGGAGACACGATTCGCGTCTGTGCTTTTGATGCTCCTTTGGCTAAAGGAGCGCAGAGACGCGCTTCAGTCGATGTTGCACGATGACGCTTGGGACAACATTCCCTGGGAATCTCAATTGGGCGACCAGGCGGTGTGGGTGCGCCAGACTATCCGGGACGGATTGTTTTGGTGGGATGTGGAGTACGGCATTCTGGTCATGACTCCCATCCACCAGTTGCTCAGGAGGCTGGACAGGGGCGGGATGGTTATGTCCCTGGTTTATTCTTGGAGTCGCCTTGTGGTCGCCGAGTTGCGACTCTTGCAGGACGAAGAGAGGATCCCCTCCGATATAGTGGATGATTGCATCCATCAGGTCCTCGCCCGTCGCCAGCACATGCTGGCGCCGCCGCACGCCACGACGCATCTCCTCAACCCTCGTAGGCATCATCTTCGGTACTACGACGCGAGGGTGAGGACTGCAGAGGACTTGGAGGTCGTGCAAGAGTGCGACAGTTTCTTCCTTGCCCAGGCGGGGGGAGATCGAGCAGGCACTCACTACTTGCGGGTGCGTGAGCAGATGAGACTGTTTCACGCGCGTATGGGTCCTCTTTTGACTGACCCTGCCACGAGGGATGCGGAGGCACAAGCATGCAGGGGGGATGACGAGACATCGAGGTGTGCTGCTTGGTGGCAGGAGCACGAGGCGCATACTTCGATCTTCAAGAGATTGCAGCGCAGGTGCTGCACATGTGGACGTCCGCCTCTCCCGCAGAGAGGAACTGGGCGGAACATGAGCGTGTGTGCACGGGTCGGCGTACACGAAGCTCACTCAGCTGGTTGAGATTGCCACCAATCTCAACTGTTGGAGTGTTCTGAGTCGTCTGTCGGTTACGTTCTTCCGTGGGGACACTTGGACGCTCAGAACGAGGTACGAGCTGTGGCAGCGGAAGGTGGTTCAACGGGGCCTGTTGACGAGGAGCCAGAGCCCTTGGTGCGACCCCACACGTCAATGACGGAGGAGGAGTTGGCGGCGATCAGACGCCGATTGCATCAGCTAGGTAGTCGGCGTCCTCGTCCTGTATCAGAGGTGTTTGGTGCGAGAGCCGCGGTGCTCCTCCCCTACGAGGGGGAAGTGCCGGAGGAGGAGGTTGTGGACGGCGCGGCGGGGCCAGCGCGCGATGACGCCGTTGACGACGATGATAACTGGACCGACCTTGAGGAGATCGCATGTCGTGCAAATAAGAGTCTAGAGAGACTCTACTTCGCACAGGGTGGACATAGCACCGGGGCACAGCCTCAAACTACGCTCATGAGAGCAGAGGATGACCCTCCACGAGGCGCATCAGACACACGCCATGGCACAGGACGTGGCGCGGGCACGAGGCGCACCAGAGATGCCACACAACCGAGGAGGAGGGTGTTCGGTGTTGACAGCAGCGACGATGAGCGTATGGTGCAGGACGACGATGCTTTGTTGCGTGCACGTCATTCGTCGGCGCCTGAGGTCGGGAGAGAGGCTCGGCCTCTTAGACGGTCGGAGAGGCTGGTTAGTCGCGACAGCACAGCCCCACAGACAGAGACCGCTTGTTCGCAGCACCTGGAGGACATACTGGGCAATCAGGTGGAGGGTGAGCAGCCTGAGCAGCGCACTCCTGCTCAGCAGGAGCCATCACGGGATATTCCTTTCGACTTGCGGACGAGGGACTCCATGGTGGGTGGGGAGGGTACGTCCGGTGGCAACATTGCGAGACGCCAGCACATTCGAGTGGGGGACATGGCGGACTACTATCCCCATGACACGCAGAGGGAGGAGACCCAAGTAGAGCGTGACGCGCTCATTGACGCCGAGGGCCTTCGGGTGATACGACACACCATGCCACTCTCTCGCCATCGCCGACCGTTACGGGACATGCTGATGTTCCACTTGTGTCAACATCGCCTCCTGCACCGTGCGGGTCGCCTGCGTCCCAGGCTCCTCTTACCTTAGGGGTAGGAGGTTCAGACACAATGGACTCAAAGTCGGATGTTGTGCGCGACGTTGTACTGGGACTTATGGCAGCTGCAGGTGCGGAGGTAGAGCAGTTGTTCAGTCATGAGGAGCATCGTGTTGACGTTAGAGCCACATAGTGTTTGGAGGCGGACGGTGCAGACACCGAGGAGCCACATAGGGTGCCCATTCATGTTCAGCCCGTCAAGGGTGAGGTTCCTGTGAGAGACACGAGACGAGGCGACGAGGAGTCGCAAGGGCACGGAGCGCAGGGCGAGCCACGAGCAGATCTTCACACAGTACATTCGGTCTCCGACACGCAGGTGGTAGCTGCACACGAGGAAGAGGGCGGGACACGAGGATCCGTTGCCCGACACCCCTACTGGCCGCGACGGAGGTGCTGGTGTCTGTGACGTATCGACGCCAGCTTATACCCCTATAAGCCCTATATATTCGGGATCCCCTGAGAGTTTGGAGCGAGAGGAGGCGGAGTCGGCGAGGATTAGAGAGAAGCGATGGGCTGCTCACAGTCATATGCGTTCACCAGCACTGGCCACGCCCAGCGCACAGAGCGTTGCCCAACATCCGACACCGGGGAGTGGTGTTGGGAGAGGACACTTGCCTGCCTCGTTGGCACCTTTACGGCTGGATATTCGACAGTCTGACCACCGTCCTTGGTCGACTGTGCGAAAAGTGGATGGGAAGTTTAGGAGAGAGGTTGCTGCGGCTGAGGCACGACGTCAGGAGGAGCGACATAGGGCAGAGAGAGAGGCAGAGGAGAGAGCTCTGGCAGAGAAAGAGCCAGAGGAGAGAGCTCTGGCAGAGAGAGAGGCATAGGAGGGAGGACAGGCCAAGGGTGACAGCGGGGGCTGCGGAGGCCGACTCGGTATCGGCACCACGTGTCGTATTTTGGGAGTGAGACTTCCCGGGAGGATGCGAGATTTGCACATACCAGCCGCCCCAGAGGCGGGAGTGCAGAGCACGGCGTACACCTCTGGCGAGGAGGCTTTGCATATTCGCGCGGGGCAGAGACGTCATGAGTCATTGACACAGATAGAGGCTCGTATAGCAGCCCACGAGGCGGAGATTGCAGCGTTGAGAGAGGCTTCAGCATTGTCGAGTGTTGCGGACGCAGAGAGAGACGTCGACGCAGACACCGAGGAGGACCCTATTGACGTGGCTAGGCGGAGAGAGAGAGAGAGAGGAGAGCAGCTTCTTCGACACGATCGGTCACGCATGGTCCTCTTAGGGCGGGTCGCAGTGGCGGCCGTGGTGCCGGTTAGTTGTAGGGACGAGTCGCCTTGCTCTGTTCCATGCATCTTTGGAGTTGACTTGATGGTCCTTAGGTTTGTTTGTAGTCTTCATTATGTAGTGTGTAGAAAGATCGGCGTAGGTTCTGTACATTATAAACACTCAGAGTTCGTTGGTGACCTGGTAGCAGTAGTAGGTGGTTGACATGTAGACGACGATCTTTGTACACGATGCTTGGTTATTTTGTATGTCATAGCAGTCATGTAGTTTGGTATTGGTCTTATTTAGCATTCAGCGATGCCGTTTTCGGTGTCATACGCAGGCTCTATATTTGTTTTGTATAAGGCGGTCATTTTAAGTTCTCGTTCGAGCAAACGTGTGTGTTGTTCATAGTTCTTACACATTGTTTGGGTGGACACTGTTCTACTTCAGCATATGCATGTTTAATCTCTGACTTATCGAGATTCGGTTTGTGTTACTCTGGTCTTATTTAGCACGTGTGGATGACGGAAACATTTGTGGACTTTGGTTTTCATGTATGGTAATAACGTGTGGACTTCGCTTTTCATGTTTGGTGGTAACATGTGTTACTCATGAGATATTGCACCTGTGAATGTCCCAATCATGCATACAAAATCCCCATTTTACTATTGGGGGTCAAAACGATGGGTTAGGGGTCAAAACAGTAGCTTGGGGCTCAGAATGGTTGACTAACCCCTACCCCACTTTTTTAAAATCCACCCCCCTACATAGTGAATATCACCAGGCGGGGTGGTTTGGTTGGTTGTTGGGGGGTTGGAGGTCAAAACGGTGGGTTGGAGGTCAAAACGGTGGGTCGAGGGTCAAAACGGTGGGTCGGGGGTCAAAACGGTGGGTGGGGGGTTGGGGGTCAAAACAATGGGTTGGGGTTCAAAACGGTGGGTTGGGGGTCAAAATGGTGGGTGGGGGTTGAGGATCAAAACGGTGGCTTGGGGGTCAAAACGGTGGCTTAGGGGTCAGAACGGTTGACAACCCTCTACCCCACATTTTTAAAATCCACCCCCCTACATACTGAATATCACCAGGCGGGGTGGTTTGGTTGGTTGTTGGGGGGTTGGAGGTCAAAACGGTGG